GTGTGTCACCCATCATGCCTGTCACATCACGCATGTCCCACATCATGCCTGTCACCATCACGTTTCACCCGTCACGCCTGTCACCCATCACACCAGTCACACATCACGCACGTCACCCTTCACACATCACGCATGTCACAGCTGTTCCCTGTCACGTCCCATCTACGCGTTGGGCATTGAGCATGTTCTGGGCCAGGTGTCATGTGTCACATGTCATGTGTCACATGGGCATGCCCGGTCCTGTACACCTGGAGCGTGTTGCGTGTCGTGCACCGTGTGTTGTGTCTTTCTCATCAGGCGTGCCTGGCGCGTGTCGTGTGTTGTGTCATGTGTTGCACATCTATGTCATGTTGCGTACGTCATGTGTTGCACATCTGTGTCGTGTGTTGCATGTCTGTGTCATGTCTTGTGTGTTGCGTGTTGCACATCTGTGTCATGTTGTCTGTTGCATGTCTGTCGTGTTGCTCGTTGTGTCCATGTTGCGTGTCGTGTGTCCCTGTTGCGTGTCACATGTCCATGTTGCACGTCGCGTGTCCATGTTGTATGTTGTGTGTCATCGATCCATGTTGCGTGTTGCACGTCCATGTTGCATGTTGTGTGTCCATGTTGCATGTCATACGTGCAAGTTGTCGCGTGTCCATGTCGTGTCATGTGTCCATGTTGCATGTTGCTTGTCCATGTTGCACGTCGCGTGTCCATGTTGTATGTTGTGTGTCATCGATCCATGTTGCGTGTTGCACGTCCACGTTGCATGTTGTGTGTCCATGTCGCATGTCGCATGTCCGTGTCACGTGTTGCACTTCCCATGTACGTGTCATGTCCCATCTACACGTCACGCGTTGCGTGTCGACCCACGAGCCAACCGCGCCCCGTGTCCCCGTGTCCCAGGCGGTGGCGCGGGGGCGGCTGGTGGCCGCCCAGGCGGTGCGTCGGGGGACGGTGACGGAGGTGACGCTGACGGTGACGCCGGCCATGGCCCCGCGGCTCCGCCTGGTCGCCTTCTTCCAGGCCGAGGGGCAGCTGGTGGCCGCCAGCTGGGCCGTGCCTGTGGTGGGCTCCTGCCATGGCCAGGTGCGGGCACTGGGAACACTGGGAGGGGCACTGGGAGCGCTGGGAGCACTGGGGAGTACCTGTGGTGGGCTCCTGCCATGGCCAGGTGTGGGCACTGGGAACACTGGGGAGACTAGGAGCACTGGGAGACTGGGGGGTCCCTGTGGTGGGCTCCTGCCATGGCCAGGTGCGGGCACTGGGAACACTGGGAGGGGCACTGGGAGCACTGGGCAC